GCAGAGATCATCTGAAGGAGAGGCTCAGTGCCTCCCAGGAGGGTGCTGACACATCCCACCTCTCATCCTTGAGTCAAACACTCCCCACCTTTGGTGGGCAACCACCCACTTCAAGCAGGGATGCAGATCCTCCACCTTCTGGGACTCACTGAACATCGTCCTCAGTCCCCACAGACACAGAGCATGGCCCAGCCCCATGGAGTCCCACTGCAGGGGGGCTGCTACAGCCAGCCAGGGCCCAGCCTCTCTCCCCCAGGAAAGGGGGAGCAGCTCCTTACTGCACCCCAGACCTCTGCAGGTGGTCATGGGATGGTCCTACCACCCAGATGGCTCCACACCACTGGAGCATCCCCAACCCCAGACAGATGCCCCACTGGCTTGTTGTGATTTGTTTCTAGAGCAGTATTTCACTAAGCCCTTTTAAAGACAGGAACACCCCCCAACAGAGAAGGGACCCTCCATGACAGGACCCTGCCCAAGTAGCCTTGCTGCCATGTAATGGCTACCCAGCCTGCCCTCGGCCATCTCTACGCAGAAGAGGCATGTCTTTGAGGTGCATGAGGACGGAGCCAGCATGCTGCCCTCAAGGAAAGATTTAGCTGAGCCCCTGCTCTTGTTGCTGACTTGGTTGCAAGGAGCCTTGGTAGAGAGCAAAGAGCCCAGACCAGAGGGTTTGCCTCTGCAGGAAGGCACACAGAGGAGAGACAGCAACCCCATAGATTCCTCCATCCCCACCTGGCTGCCAGGCAGGTCCCGCAGCCTCCCCCAGCCCCGGGTCCCCATCTCCACACCTCCCCTGGGAACACAGCCTGGAGAACATGGAAGCTAACAATGAAACTTGCAGGGCCATTCAGGGCCCCAGATAAGGGGCCAGAGCAGCTGCGAGGCTGTTTCCTTCCCGTCCCTTCCATGGGGAGTAAACACAACAGCAGAGGGAAGGAACAGGACAGATCCCTTGCCCGCCAGCTCTCCTTGTCCCCTCACACTCACAAACGTCCCTGCAGCCTGGGCAGGGGATGTGGGACCACACACAGGCCACCAGGTTGGGGCAGGAAGCCTCCGGGAGAGGAGGCAGCTGAGGGGCTCTTGGGGAGCCTGAGGAGGGGCCGGGCTGGGTGGACCCCACGGTTCTGCAGACCCATCGACACCAACTGGCTGATGCTCAAGAATGGCCACCTGAGGGTCTCTCCACAGGGTCAGGCCGTGTTCAGTAGTGGAGTAGGGACTCTTTGGGTGCCTGGAGCCTGCCTTGCATGCACGGCTGTCACTCCTGCCCTCAGCATCAGCATGGCTCCATCCTGAGCAAGGGGTGCCAGCAGAACCAAGGGGGTTCACCCAGCTCTCCTCCCATGTCCTCCACCACCAGGATGCACTACCTCCCTCCGCTCTCCTTCCAGCCATCTAGTCTTCATCAATCCAGGCTTAAAGACATAATTACCCAGCAGCAGTGCCAGGCCTGGGGAAGGTTAGCAAGCACCATCCCCAGCTCTCCCCGCAGACACACGCCAGCACCATCCCAGGCTGGAGCACAGCCCTTCCCTCACTGCTGGCCAACACACAAACCCCAAACAGCCGCTCAGCCCAACACCCTCCCAGATGTGCAGAATCTGCCCCAAACCCCTCCTGCAGCGGCTCATGCACTAGCACTTCAGGGACAGGGGCTTCCTGGGCATGGCACAGCCCCTCACCACCCCTCAAAGCCAGCTTGGGCACCGGTCACCTTTGAAGCAGGACCGGGAGGGGAGGCAAGAAAGCCTCAGCCAGCAAGATGCTTGTGACAGCTCGAAGCCAAGCACGCCGGATCCCGCAAGGGTGAAATTCCAGGGATTGCTTTGTGCCCATTCCCCCCTCCTCCTCCCCAGCCTCTGAAGATACAACTACAGAGCATTTTTCCAAAGCCAGACCCTGACCATCTTTGAGGACGGCTGCATGAAAGCCTTTTCATCATGAGAGAGGCACTTGCTGACACACCCGTTACTTAAAAACCCCAGCAAGCCAAAAATATTTCAGCTGGCTCGTTCAGGGCAAAACAAAAAGCCTAAAGACAAAACACACCCCGCAGCAGCTTCTGCCCCAGAGGACTTCCCGGATGGCTACCAGCAAGAGGGGACCCACAGGGACCAATGCAGCTACCCAGAAAGCTTGACATCCAAATTCCTATGGCCTTATCTCAACTCCCAGCCTCCTGGTACCAGCACAGCCCCATGCAGCGCCTAGAGGTCCTGAAGCCAAAGCAGGTCCATCAGAGATGTTCAAGCCGCAGCGCCTTTGGAGCCCCCTGGCAGGGAGGCAGCCACCCGTCCATTTGCACAAACAGAGCTTCCCCACATAGGGACCTGCCATAACCTTCCTGCTTGGGCTAAAGGCTTGGTAGCAGCCTGAAAGACACCCCAAACCCTGACCAACCCCCCCAAAGCTCTTCCACTGGGGGCAGCTCTGACATGGTATATTTTTCCAAAACCCCTGACCCCTCCTCAGGGAGACTGCCTTCCCCCAGAACAAAAAAAAAAAAAAAAAAAAATTGTCTATATATAGTGGTCATATCTGTCACCAGGTGTCAACGAACAAATTCATTACGAGAAACAGAATTCCCACCAGTTGTGCAAGTGATTTACCAAGAAGAACTTTTATTTTTTAAGTCTGTCCTATCCTATTAAACTTCTATTTACAAGTTTAATGGCAAAGATCAATATATCCCCCTCCCTAATAAAAGAAAAGACCCATTTTATTTTAGCAGTTGTCAGTATTATCCACTCAAATTTCTGCAAATATCATTGTGTTGTCATTAAAAAAAAAAAAAAAAAAAAAAGTACTTTTTTTTTTTACAAGAAAGGTAATTTCCAGGAGCAACCCACAGCCTTACCCACCTGGAGTTCACCTGCACCCTCCTCTGCTTGGGCAGGGAGTTCAGGCCTCAAAGGCTCCCTGCCAGGAGTGTCTCCCCATCAGCCACAGAGAGATTAAATGGGGGCCCAGACCAGGCCAGCAGATGGGGAATTGTACCCCACAGGCTGGGGAGAACGGAAAAGATCCAACAGATAAGGCACGGGCAGGGGTTTGACAGGCAGCACCCACTGCAGGACAGGGGATCTCCAGTACACAGCCCCCTGCCTGGGTCCCTCCAAGGACCTGCTCCAGCCTCGCTCCGTGCCCCAAGTCCCCAGAAAGCTACCACACACAGGTCCTGGGATCCCTAGAGCTACAGCCACTCCCTCAGCACGAAGGATTTTGGGCAAAGTTCAATCCGGGCACCTACATGCCAGAAGCCACCTCTGCCACAGCAGCCCTGCCCCAGCTCCCTGCTGAGACACACCAGGCACCGCTACTTGGGAGGGGGGCAGGATCACATCTGCTCCCACTGCCGAGTCCTGGCCCTCCCCGCAGCTCTGCTGCTCCCTCGTGTCCCCTGGGCACCTGTTAAGCAAGTGGCAAGGTTTGTCACCACTGCTGGACACCCCCCACAGCCCCCTGCTCTGGCTTGTTGCCACTGGCCACGGTCAGGAAGGACCCAGCTCCTTGCCCATGTGGGCTGAACCCCTGCAGGGACAACAGGAGCGCTGGGGTCCCACCAGGCCGAGGACAGAGGATACACTGCCCAGGGAACTCACTCCTGCTCCACCACCATCCCCAGCACCCACCAGAAAATAGAAATGCGGCACTGCTCAAATAATTCTCCTTGCCCTATCAGTGTGAGGGACTCAGGAGAGCCAGCTGGCTGGCTGCCTGCCCCACCAGAGCCAGCATCAACAGCTCCCAGCACCAGAGCCCTGGCCTCCAGAGAGAGAGGAAGCAACAAATTCTCCTGGTTCCAGTTGCCCATCATGATGCACTTAGGGAAAACAGAAACCCCATCAATAATTCAAGCCTGCAATTGTCCGAGCGCCTGCAGGGCACTGCACTTGCTGGCTCTGCAGAGGTTCACAGCCCTGCTAATTCACCACAGGCTTCTGGTCAGTCTCAATTAGCTGAAAAATAAATGCGCCAACATCTTTGGCATCTTTCCACCCCTCTCCACACAGGGCCCAGGCTCACACATCAGTCCTCAGCCTGCCCAAGGTGGCAAGTGCCAACGCTCGCCACGGCGACAGCAAGTCAACAGGAGAGTGGGCAGAGCGCCCACGGGTCCAGGCTCATCTCCATCTTGTCCACTGCTGCATTCAGATGTGGAGAGTGCCACAGCCCCCGGCCACAGGTGAAGGACAGCGGATGGTGGGCAGCAGCTCGCACGTCCCCACAGGGGTGATGGAGAGTTTTGACCATGGCTGTTTCCCTCTCACCGCAGACCAGGAAGGGACCCCCCTACCTGGGCAGACGCCTCCTTGCTCCAGGCCGTGCAGCCCCCCTGCTCTGCCAGACCCCACCGCCGGGGAGGGGCTCTCCCACCTCCCTACAAGGGGTTTGGCTGCTCCCCCCCAGCCCCACAGGGAAGGGCTCTCCCCGGAGGCAGGTCTTAGAGTGCAGGCACCCGGACTTTGGCCGGGCTGGTGGGTGGCCACTGGCCCTCCCTGGCCAGGAAAGGGCTGCTCCTGTAGGCGGGTCGGACACCGCCTTGGGCGCCTACCTGTCCCAGAGGGGGCCCCACCTTCTGCGGCGGGGAGCCCAGCACCGGGAGCGGCCGCCACGGGTGTCAGCGGGAAGGAGGCGCTCACCTCCGCCTGTCACACCCAACTGGTCAGACCGGCAGCAGGATCGCCACCTGGGCAACCTCAGCTGCCGCCCCCGGTGCCAGGGACGAAGGCCACGTCGCTGTGTCAGGAAAGCCTCCCTCCTGAGGGAGTCACCTGCGGAGACGGAGGCAGGGACGCAGCACCGCACCATATAGGGGAGCGGGCCAGCAGCCAGGCGGGCGATAAGGAGGGAGCGATAAGGGCAGGGTGGGGCGCTGGAGGGGAAGAAGCAGCCCGTGTCCTCCCCCCAGCAAGGGCAGGGGGCCCAAGAATGCACCATACCCATCGGCTCTGAAGGATGGGTCCGGACATAGCTGGGGGCTGCAAAACACGATGGGAGATCCCCTGGAACGGGATTTGTCCCTGGCCCAGCTGAGGCCACCAGACGGGTGCTGTTGGCCGCCCCAGCGGGATGAAGAGGGCGAGGCAGCGGAGCGGGGCCAGCAGGAGAAAGGAGCAGCATGGGGTCGGCCGCAGAGAGCCAGGCTTGTTGTGCTGGAATGTCGGCAATGCGGCCGCAGGGCAGCTGTCCTCACCAGGGGGGCCGATCGCCCCTCTCCCAAGCACAGCCGGGACATGGCACCAGAGGAGCCCCTTCCCTCCTGGCCGGGCTGGAGTGAGACCCCTTGTGTGGCCAGGGGAGTTGCCGAGCTTCTGCTCTGGCCGGAGGGAGCAGCTAGCACCATGAGGAACGAAGGGAGACAGAGCTTCCCTCAGCGCTCCCAGGGCGCAGAGGACAAGCGTCCCTCCCAGCAGGAGGGCACTGTCCCCCCACAATCCCCAAGCAGGACAGCCATGGAGCCAGAGCCTTCCCGCCAGCAGAACCCTAACAACCCCATGGGTCTCCCCACCCTGGGGACAGCCGCGGGGCAGGGGTCCCTGCCACCCCTCGGCAGCAGGCAGTCACCAGCCCCATGGCTCGCAGCCCCCAGGCCCAGGAGATCCGCCTGTTGGGAGCCCTTCAGCAGCACAAAGGCGGCTCTCTCTGCTCTGTGGGAATTTGCAGCTGAGTGCTCGGCGGGGACAAAGGGATTTCACAGCCGATCCCGGCCGGCCGCTCTCCCCCCGGCCTTCCCGCTTCCTGTCACGGTAGCGCCAGGCCTCAGGGGCGCAGCGGCAAACAAACACCCAGCGCCGCGCTCTGGGAACGGGGCCAGAGCATTCCCGGGGCCGGCCGCGCTCTGCAGCCAGTGGGCTCCTGCTTCGCCCAGCGACTCCTGGGCCTGGGGGGGATCGGAGCAGACCCCTGGCTCTGCCACCCCAGCCCCAGGAGCAGGGTAGAGCCAACGGGACGCAGGGCAGCCTCAGGCTCCTTGCTGTGCCTGAAGAATGGCAACCACCATGATGGGGGACATGAGATGTCCCCACGCCCGGGGGGATCCCTGGCGTTCTGCTGCCCCCAGGCTCAGCCAC